GTTCTCGCATCTACAAGGAAAGAACGAAGGCATTTCATGACAATCAGATTTTACGGAAGGAATTTCAGCCAGGACAAAAGGTTCTGACATTCAATTCAAGGCTCAAGTTATTTCCAAAGAAATTAAAATCTCGCTGGACTAGACCCTACCTGGTGACTCAAGTTTTTCCTCATAGAGCAGTTCAAATCACTAATGAAGCTCAAGGCAACACATTCAAGGTCAACGGTCACAGGCTGAAACCCTACGTGGAGACACCCTTTGACACTGCAAACGAGTCTTTGACTCTGAAGGAACCAGTGATTTGACCACCATGCTTCTGCAAAGTCTAGCTACAGACTTAAAATAAAGCGCTTATTGGGAGGCAACCCAATTTTTCTAAACTCTTTACTCCTTTTAATTTTATAAAAAAATAAAATAAAAAAAAATATATATATATATTTGTTGTTTTCTTTAACTAGATGTTTTTATTTTCTTTCTATTCCTAACACACCATTAATTCAATGCAGGACACAACAATCAGCAGAAAACATCAAAAGCAAAAAAATCCTAGGCTGGAATCCTGCACCCAGCAGCAAGTCTACGCAGGGACCGACACAACAATCAGCAGCACACATCAAACGCAAAAAAATCCTAGGCTGGAATCCTGCACCCAGCAGCAAGTCTATACTGGGAAAGACACAACATTCAGCAGCACGCATCAACAACAAAAAAAAAAAAAAAAAAAAAAAAAAAAAAAAAACTCATAAACACCTGAAAGATGCTCACAGCATTTATACTACATTACATCACCACATATACACTATGCTGGCCATTCAAGCAATTAACAAGCGCTCACTCAAAGATGCAAGGGATTCGAAATTATACCTATGAGATGCACGGATTGGGGGTCCTAAGGGCTTCTTGTTTTTTTTTTTCCTTCGAGCTTGTATGTTTATTGCCCTTTCCCTTGAATCTCTCTTGGATCCGCAGACCTTACACAGCGAGCACCAATATGAGTACCTGCAGGGACAAAGAACGCACATCTCTACATATCACACTTCTTTACAGATCAGGACCCAACACAAATTCTGGAATTACTCTTACCTTTGGATGATATCGGACGGCATTGGTGCTGCGAGATCGAGGACCATCATGGATGCAGGTGGACGTTAGTGACGGTGCTGACAGAGGTTTGAGACAGAGGCATGTACCCAAGAGGCTTCCAACACCTTCAGATCAGGCTCTTTCAGCTACTAAACGTGCCAAGAATTGAATTTTCCGCCACTAGCTCCAGCGCATCACCGTATAATGTCGATTTCACTGCGAAAATTGGGGGTAAGGCATCTGCGCAGATATGGGGTTCTTCAACCCAACTCAAATACACCAACCCAAATCCCCATTTTCCAGCAACTGACAAGCTTCGCTCCTTCTTTGGCTTTTAACTCTGACCCATTGTTTGAAAAACAAAACAATTGAAACTTTCTTATGAAATAAGGGTTCTGGGTCTCACAAAGGAGACCCTTGCTGCTCTGAGCTCGAGCTGGTAGAAGGGGATCTATTATCTTTCAAATGACAGATGCAGCAGCTCGACCAGGTTATATTGTAGTTGTCGCTCG